GGCTCGAAGACGCACGGGCCAGATGAAATACTGAGTCCATGTAATGTTCTCATCTGTTCTCCTTAATTCACCTTCTGATAGATAAAGTGTTACCTCTCATTTTCTCTTTGTGATTCTTGACAGTTTCTCTTGTATGTAATCCTGTGGCTTAATGTTCCCTACCTTCCCAACTCTTTCAGCACATTTTCTAGCTATTCTAACCCTACCTTTTTTCTTTTCACTTGTGCTGAGAAATCCTACTAGTAGCATGTGGCCAAAAAAAAAAAAAGAAAAAAAAAGAAAAAAAAAAGAAAAGGAAAAAAAAAGAAAAAAGAGATTGAGTTATTATGCACGACTCTAAAAAGAAAAAAATATTTTTTTCTTATAACAATTGTTTTTCCATTCTAACTGATCTTTCAGTGTCTGTTCCACTGTCTGTGTTGTCTGTCTGAAATGCTCTACGTTTTTCATTCAGTTTATGATTTGGCAGTAGTCACTGGTTCCCTCAGGGCAAACTTCTAACGCCAGGGGAAGATTATTCCTTCTGTAGACATTATCCAGCCAGGAACTGCAATAGCTCTCAGGCTTTCTGGATTCAGCCTCCTATTTAAACTCTGTTGAAAGCTGATATTGGATAAACCTATCTGGGCAGATTGGATTTGGGACTGGTGCAAGTTTGAGTTTCCGGGGTCCAGCAGACAAGGACATGACCTGAAAAAGGTGGGGGAACAAGGCAAGAGGGGCTGCCTGGAATGATCTGCTTTGAACTCCTGGTGTGGAGGGCAGATGAGGAGTGCTTGGATCTGCCTCTCCCTGAGCACATGAGCGCTCCTCTGCCTGAGAACTGAGCTGAGCAGACTGAGCTTGTGCTCAAGTGAGGGAAAATACACAGTCCCTAAAGCTTAAGACACTCAGCCTCGTATTTTATGTGGATAGGGTGTGTTGAGCTGAAAAAAGCCAGCATTGTTTTTCCCACAGTGTGTTCAGGAGGTCACCACAGGGGGGCAATAATTCCCTTTTCTGCTTTTARTTTTGCCTTCTGGGTTCCTGTAGCAACAGTTCTCACTTCCCTCTTCTGGAAGAGATTTAYGACTCTAATTGGCACATCATGGAASACTGCTCTGAGCGGTGTATTTGGCGTCTTTCTGAAAGGCCTGCTTTATGCACGCATCCTTTATCTGCAATATTCAGATGATATCCAGGCTGCCCATGGGCAAAGCATCCTCTCTCKAGAAAATAATTTCTAAACTTAGCATTTGCAGTATTCTCCAGGCATTTATAGAATAACTTTCATTTCTCCTTGGAATAATTGTTGAACATCTGCTGTCTCCCTGATGCAGTTTATCTTAGCTAAAACCCCTTACTTAACTTTTAACTTCAGAGATRGTTCTTCCTGGAGAACAGATCAGGCAGACTCCAGTCCTGGTCAGTGGGCTGCAGTAAGTGGCCTTTTGGAGATCAGCTGCTGTTGGTTCTTGGCCTACAATGCAAGTCCCCCTGAGACTTTGATCCTTGCCCCGAGAAAGGGAGGCAGAATGGCTTCCCTCCTGAGAAGTAAACTCGTCTCTCGTTTTCAGGGAGGTTGGGATTTTTTGGGTTGTTTTTAACCGTGTTTGACTGCTGTGCTAAACTTTCTTGATTTACCGTGGGCACCAATAGGGCTAGCTGTCATCCTGGGGAACATACAGGGTTTTCAGGGTGGAAGCAGAGGGGTTTGTGCCATTGCACAGTAGTCAGACTTAGCAAAATGCCATTTTATGACACCAGCTCAGGAAGGTTATTTTCATTCAGATCACTTGTCACCGAGTCATGCCATGTGTTGGATGTTCAGTTGCCAGAACTGTGTGTGGGACTGTCAGCAGTTGAGCATTTCTTTTAGCTTTATGGATTTTTTGCTTCTGCAGTAAAGKGCAGTGCATAATGGTACCTCCTAAAAGCATGGCTAGAAGAGGGGCAGGGAGATGGAGTCGGATACCTGCTAGGATGTATCGCTGTGTATTTCAAAACAGTATGCCAGCCAGCCCGTGTACTCATCGTGTCTCCTGTGATCCCTGCGCTCTAGAACTGGAACTCRGAGTCAGGGAGTGTTCTGGGGACCCGAGAGCTTAATATAGAAAACTCTTCTTCTCTGGCTGCATTCTGTTTAACTGAGTGACTCAATAGGATGATGACATTTCTTTGTAGTGGACGATAAGCACTTCAAGTGTGTTGTGCAAATAAGCCTCTTGGTGCTGAAAGAGAGCTCCCAAACCGGAGCTAAGCAGATGTCAAGATGTATTAAGAATGAACTAATTTTAAGCACTAAGTTGCTACCACCACTGCTGCTTGTAATGAAGGTGAAACCAGTCTGAGGAGAGGAAAGAAGAGGTAGCAACTCAGGTGGTGGCATTATGTGATGCACTGAGAATGTTTGTGTTTTGTTTTTCTATTTTTATTTTTTTTATTTTTTGTTTTTTTAGCTAGAACAAAGCTAGTCTGTTAAGTCTTTGCTTTGGATAAGCCAGAAGATGAACTAAGAGGATATAGGTAWTGCACAGAAACATGATTAAGGGACTCTTCCTTTGAAAGCGGGAAGAGACAGATGCTTACTTTATACAGAGCTTGAAACATMCAGCAGTGTTGCATAAATGCTACCCTTAGATATAAGGACTCCAGGCAGCTTCAGGAGGCTTGATATGTATATGTATACAGATTGTCCTAAGGGCAAAAATCTATTTTTAAGCATCCACATCTCTTTTAGCCTCATAATCTGTGTCAAAATCTATTCTTATCCCATGGAGTTCAAGTGGGCATTACTGTTTTCAGGCCTGATATAAAGTAGACAGTCTTTAAAGGCTTTTACTGAAGCTTGGTTTGAGACATCAATTCCCCTACTCCTTAAAAGTAGAATAATTGAAGAATAAAAGAATAATTGAGCTTTTCTTGGAGAGAGAGCGGGGGGGGGGGGGGAAGATTTCATATCATATAAGCTTTCTTCGATCTAGCCCAACAAGTTGCAAATTTCTGTTTTGAAGCAGACCAAGAAGGGCCGATGTGCCGAGCAGCCTTGAGGTTTCAAACCCCGCTCGCGTTACGGGGGCTCCTGGGGTCGGGCAGCTCTGGGGCCCCGCCGCTCGCTCGTGCTGCGGGGCGGCCACCCCGCACGCTCCTCCTGRCCTCCACAGGCTCGAGGGTCGGGAGCCTGAGCTGTGGCTTTGGGGCTTTGTGCTGTTCGTTGGAGAGAAGGAAAGAAAAAATTAAAAAAGGCCCTGTGAAAAACCATGTCATGTAGGTGTCGGAGCTTCCTGAATACTTTAAAACTAAACTAAGCCTCCTATACTGTATTTTAGAAATGCACTTTAAGTACTTTTTCTTTTTTTGGGTTGTTAGAAAACTCCTCTATTCTGGGACACAGAAGGGAAGGGAAGAATATTTCCAAACCACTGAGAAAGTTCTGTTTTGTTTTGTTCTGCCAGTGTCTACCAGTCTTTATGACTAAATAGCAAGGTATTTCAAAGCAAAGACTTTACTTTTTGCTGCTTGTTATCTAATTTACAGGGATTTAAGTTTATGTAATGTACTGTATATTTATACATCTGTAATTAATCGCACATATTAGAAAGAGGATTAGCTTGGAGTAAGACCCATTGGTACTTTGCAATCAACTAATACTGCCTATGCATATGCATCTTTCTGGTACTCTTACACAGCCTTAGTTTGTGTTAGTTTGTGTTGTGGTGGCGTTTTGTTGTTGAAGATGCAGTTGTTAACCTGCTGCTCAAAGGAAGGATACTAATGCTGCTCTGGGACGGTTTGCTGAATGTATTTTAAAATGGGTCTCTAACATGTGCGTTGCATCTCTCTTGTGGTTTAAAACCCAATACGTGGTCTGAACTGTACAGTATGTAGCAGGAATGTATGAATTTTGTGCTTCCTTGTTAAAAGCATCAGCCGTTCGAAGAACAGGATGGAGATATTTTGTTCAGAAGGCCATTTATGCGCTCTAAGTCTTTTGAAACCAAAACTAGTCCAACGCTAACCGGATGGTTGTGTCCAGTGTCAATTGGGACAGTTTTTAAATTGGCGCGAGTCGCCGCCTATTCAGAAAACCCAGGGCGTGTTGCCACACGAGCGGCCCGATCCTGAGCAGTACTGAACTACCTCTTGCTCACGCTGAGACCAGGGACTGGAGGCAGAGGGAGCCTTGGATGGTCGGCACTCCCCAGGATCAGCCCTTGAATTTCCCCTCCGCTTGTTCACCTTCATGTGCACTTGGTTAATGTTCTTCCCTTTGGACATTAGACACGCTGTTGCACTGAACTACATGCGTTGCTTTTTGATTGTGGTCCCCATTCCTCCATTCAGCATCTCTGTACACAAGGTATACAAGGTATACGCTGTATAAGTGGCCTTCCTAAACAAATCTCTCTGCAAACTGATTTCATCCCAGCGAAGGAGTGCATCAGCAACACTGTACATTAATTTCCGATTTTCATTTTCATATTTTATTTTGTAAATATATCTGATGTTTGGAGCTTGAGTATACAAATGTAAATATAGTTCATGTATTTGTACTAATTGGGATCCATTTGCTGTATAGCCTTAGGTGTGCGATGCAGACATTATCTAACCGTGTATGGTAACCTTGCACCACCGAACTGTTAGTGACCGAGGTGAAACAATAAAGGTACAACCAGTGCACTGGCTGTGCTCCCGTGTGCTCCTTGGGCAGGCCCTAAAGGCCGGGTTTTCACCCAATTCCGTGTCCTCAAGCTTGCCTCTCCTTCGTCTTTCACTAGCGACCGGGGTTGCTGCTGCCCCTTTAAGGGAGGGAGGGGCATCCATCGGCCCAGGGGCGGGGGGCGGGGCTCCGCGGGGGAGCCAATGGGCGGCGCGCGCCGCTCCGCC